AAAAACCTTAGAGGAAAGAGTCCTTTCTTTGTATTTCCCTACAGTTTTAGAAGCCAAAAGGTGAGTCACAATTCTGTGAGCTCTTAGTCAACAGAGCTCTATTGACAGGAAATAAAGTTTGGAGACCTTAGCTAACTTTCCTAGCATCGGGCTCAAGTGACTCCTTTTTTCCTCCTCTGCTGACAGCCACCACTGTGAACAAAGCCCCTGCCTCTCATCTGTCACTCAATTGCCATGGTACAGCAGTCGCAGGAGCATCCTCTGTGATTCACCTTTTCATCTGAAGAAGAACACAGTCAAAGTATCTTAAGGGCTTTGGCAGTGTTACAAGTGGCTTAAGGAGCACACACTCAGGGTTAAGGGGTTCCACAGCATTGCAAGCAATTTAAGTCATCCCATGTAGCGCTTCTGAAGCTGTCTTCTGAAGCAGCCATAGCTGACATCTTTTAAGAAGACCATAGAAACTAGTTTCCTCTTAAATTGGACTCCTTTGGCAAGCAACTAAATTCAGTAAGTGGCTCCCAAAATAAGATTCCCACCTCCTCGCACAGGCAGGGGCATGCTAGCACCCACTTCACACCGTTTTCCAGTTCCTATATTAGACTCCTAGAACCATGGTTACACGTAGGAGCCTTCTAGTTTTGGAGAACTTGAGGAAGAGGGGCAGTGTGTAGGGGCTCTTCCAGCGACTGTCTGAGGCACCCATTCAGTTCTGCATGGATGGGGAGGACCAGCAGCCATACGCTGCGTCTGACTTTCTCCCAGATAGTTCTTGGTTTATCAAGGAGCTCAACAAAGACTTCAAGTGCACAGACTTAACTATTTTCTTCCTAAAGACAACAGAAATCCCTTTGCATTCCTGCCTTTTATTCCTTTAAATTTTTTCAAAGGAAGTGAAAATAAATAAAAACCAAGCCACATGCCTAAAAAGATTGCTGACATTTGGCACACTGCAGTTTCTCCATACTCATGGGCAGCTCCATCTCCCGTCTCCTGAAGCCTTGTTTGGGTGACCTCACACGGTGGCTCTTCAGTTGTCTCATCCAATTCTCTTCAAAGAGTATCCAATACACCCCAGGAAGCAAGGGCACCAGTGCATGTATTTGCTCCTTGGCCATTTATGCTTCCCATTCTCAAAGAATCAAGCCTTCAGCGAGGCAGGGCATTGCTTCAGGTAGGTTGCTTCCTTTCTCCTAGATAAGCATCATCCCTATCCTCTTGCTTTCAGGCTTCTTTCCCTACTCCCAGACTGTATCCTGCTATGACCGGGAGCCTGCTAAGCTGCGACAGTGCCCAGGGCAATGTGAAAGCTGTTTCCACATTTGAGGTCATCAATAGCCCCAAGCCTGAGAGTTGTGGTTATTTCAGCCGTTAAGAGACACTTTGCTCAGAGCTCAGCACAGACCCTCTGACACCACATGATCCAGGTCACTAGTGTTATGGCCTGTGTCTAGATGTCCCCCAAAGCCTCGTGCGATCGTAAGAGGAGCTTTGCAGGGCTGGCTGGATCGAGAGCGTGCGGTGCTGGGACTAAGGATGTGATGCTGGGGTTGATTTAGGGTGTGAAGCTGGGTTGAAGGGTGTTCCACGCTGGAGGAGCACTTACTTTAAGGACAGGTAGCCTGGATAGACAATAAGGCACAGAAAGAGGGTTGTTTTTGTTGCTGATTGTCACTTGCTGGTTCTTTGCTGCACTCTGCCCACCATGAATGCCTCTCTGCCATGTCACCCTGCCTTGGAGCCAGCCACCAATGAACTGAAACCTCTACAAACTGTGAACCCAAATAAACCTTTCCTCCTTTAACTTTGGTGTTAGATATTTTGTCTCAGCAATGAGAAAATGTAACTAACACACCGAGACATAAAAATTATTCTGTAATAATGGTATTCAACACTAAATATTGTGTTCAAAAGACAAGATGCCCACATCCTCAGCCACGTCCCACCCTGTCCCAGAATTCCACACGGTACATCCAGGAGATAACCAAGGAAACGGTGACAGTGCCAAGACAGAAGAGAGGCTCGACTCTCTCTCTATTAAAACAAAGGTGGGACTGGTGGCAAATGACCAGGAGAGTGAAGAGCCAGGGCTGACAGCAATGGTGAGGCAGGGAAAATAGGAAAGGTGGGGCACGGATTTAGCCCTTTGACTTAAAAAGTGGAAGACTGTGGGGTTCTGGACAGAGCGAGGGCTCTCAAGCTAGCTAACGGGGTATCTGGCTACGAGACCTAAGCACAGGGCAGTGGAGCCAGCTCTGGCAGGCTGGATGTAGCCAGTAGCTGTGACAACGGGTGTAACAAAGAACTGAACAAAAACACAAGGAAAAGCAAGTTGTTACAGCAACTTCAGAATTAAGGAACCAGCGGCTTTGTGGAAATTGAGAGGGGACAGGCAAAATAAGAAGAAATGCTAGCATCAAGAATGACCCAGATAACAGGTCTCTGCTTGGTGTTTCTCTAAAGGTCCCTGTTGCTGAAGGATCTTCTGGAGTTAGACAACAAGAAAGAAAGTCACTGAGAGCACCTGGCTGACACCCAAGGAGGAGGAAAAGGCTCGGGGTGCCAGGAAAACGGAGAGGTGGACCGCACCGAGGCCACTCGGTGTCCTTAGCAGTATCTGAACACAAAACGGCAGAACAAAATCGAGCACTGAAGATGGCCACATGAGAAAGAGGCTCGATATGGTTCAGCCACGTTCCCAAACAAAGTCATCTCCCAGAGAGACCCTGCCTGGAAGGTGAAGGTAACACATCAAGGGTCAAAGAATACAAGACTTAGCACCTAGAAAAGTCTAAGCTCAATTCTGTCTCTTACTCCCTGAGATTCAGGGCAGGGTATTCAACTGCCATCCATTTCCTCATATGAACTGTTAAGCTGTCCATGGGTTTTGCAAGAGATTCTGTCATAAGGTTTTGTAGTAATTAAAGTAGAGAGTAAACAGAATACTTGGCCAGATGCAATAATATTCAACAAGTGAAAGGTACTGATTGTTAATCATGCAGAGTCACAGTAGTGTTTTGTGTGGAGCAACATTCCCTACATGATTTATAACAACAATAATAATAAATATAATAATAGCATAGGCAACTCAGACTTAACAAGCTAATCTGTTTTTCATAACATCTGAAAATCGAACCATAAGACAACATTGCTTAAAAAGACTTTTTGGCTTTGCCCCAAACTCCGATGCTACGCCAGGAAGCTGGGTGTTATGCCACATGAATCAAACCCTCCTATCTTTTTCTTCTCCCCCGCCTCCCTTCCTTTGTCTTCGTCCCCCTTCATAGATGACCAGCACTGCTGAGCCACACTGGGAAGTAGCTGGGAGGGAGTCAGCCCTGGTACAGGCCACGTTTGCATTTGCCTTAGGAAGTGGTACTCAGGCTTTAGAGATTAGTACGGCGTGGGGGACGCTTTGAATATGAGCAAAAGGGTAACAAAACTGAGAGGCTGCACGTGGTAATCTGTGTGTTGCATCGTATTTGAGAGCTACCCACACTTGTGCAGGGTTTTATAGCCTTCTCCCTGGACTGTCCCACTAAGCAGGGTAACAGCATCATGTGTGGCTTATGAAACAGAGCTCAAAGTTCTGAGGGGCTCCAAGGATTTACTGCAGGCCACACACTGTGACACGACAGGGCCCAGCAAGAACCTGGATCCCTGGACCTGTGACCGCTGCTTGCTCATTATAATTGTCCTGCAACCACGGGGTGAGAGCTGCATGTGCATTTGTTTCCTAAAATACATTTATATTTCATATTCTTTTCTCTCAAAAGCTCTAAGTTCTTAGGTAGCTTGCTTTTGGAATAGCTTTATTTGATTTTGTTACTATTATGAGTTTTGAATCTATATGTGCACAAGTGACCTCCTTAAATCTAACATTATTATGTAAATGGATTTTGACATCTTTAAACTTCTCTGGAAGAACTTTAAAATAAAAATAATATGTGCAACATATTATGTTAGAAAATATTTTCTTTCAGGGACTAGTAAATTATTCACTTCAGTGCCCTCAGAGATAAACTATTCATTACAAAAATGCCTCTATGAGTAAAATCATACAGTACTTATTTGACAGTTGAGAGTTCTACAGGACTTCACAATTTTTTTTTTTTTTTTTTTTTGAGACAGGGTCTTGCTCTGCAGTTCAGGTGGCCTTGAATTCACTTTGTAGCCCAGGTTGGCCTTGAGCTCTCAGCAGTCCTCCTGCCTCAGCCTCCCAAGTGCTGGGATTACAACATGTGCCACCAGCCCAGCTTGTTTTAATTTTTTAAAATTGGAACATTTGTTTCTTACAACTTAAAAAAAATACAGTTTTATGTGACATAAACGCTCTATTAAAAGTTTATATTGTTCAACATAAAATATGTCAAAATGAGCCAATTACAGAAATCTATAGTGGACAATATTATTATCCAGGGTAACATTTCAAGCTGGGCACGCAGTTCTGCCACTTTGAAAGAGTTTAAAATTTTGTAGTCAGGTCACCTGGCGATGGTGGTTACTGGGATGCTCGCCACCCATTTTCTAGATGGAAGCTGATATCTAAGCAGAGGCATCTGTACCAGCAGCTCTCTTTTGCAGATTGCTGGATACCATGTCAAATTTATCGCTGCGAACATACACTGTAATTCCCTTCTTAGGGTGATTATTTCATAGCTCATGTATTTTGCTCCTAAGCAGATTTTCAGCATTGATTTTTTTACAGCCATGAAATGCCTTACTGACATACATATCATTTTTCACCAGGGAATGAGGCTTTGTTCACTACAAAAATGAGCTGACGGAAGCTTCTTCAATCTAAATAGAAAGAAACAAATTCATCCCAGTCAAAGAAACAGAGCTGGGCCCGGGGATCTAAGTCAGTGGTAGAGTTCTTTTCCAGCACATGTGAGGCCCTAGGTTCTATCCCCAGTACTTTAAAGAAAGAAAGAAAAGTGGATTTTTTTCCATTTTATTCTTTTGCTGTTTTACATTGCCGGGTACGCACAATCACTTACCAAGGGGCAGAAATGCGAGACGGTTTCCAGCCATGGAGAGCTCATTGAGGCTGGGCAGCTGGCAGAGGTGGCGGGGCACATACCACAGCCGATTGCGGTCCACAGTCAGGTACTGCAGAGAAAGGCACAGGTGAAGCCTCTCGGGTAAAGTTAGCAAACGATTGGTAGAAATGTCTAGTGTCTGCAGCTCCTTCAAATCGCCAACCTCTACAACCAAAATCAAAATTAAGATGAATGCATCCTGATAAACTTAAATAAAGAAAATAAAACAAATTAAAGCTGTAACAGTTGAAATAAATGAAAAGCAGTAGCTAGAACTATTTCCACACCATAAAGGCAGAGCTAGGGTTCAGATAGCCCAGCTTTGCTGGGGGTCGTTGATTTAGCCTGTCATAGAATTTCTAAAATCAGGAAAAGTACAGACATGGAGACACAGAGCAATGAATCTGAACTAGAAATCTATCACCCTCAAATTAAAAGTCATTGCTAGGCTCAGAAAACAATTACAGTCCGTTCAAGATACCAGGTTTCTGCTGTTTGATTTACTTCCTATCTGAATGGACAATAGGAGATTTGTGAGTTATAGCATCCCAGTAAGTACAAACTCTTCATATGAATTAGACAGAAGATTTCTGAACTAAGAATTAGGGTGTCTTTTGGAAATTTCCACCATAGGAAAGTGTCTTCTAAGATGAAATTATTGTACACAACATTTTTAGGTACTGTCCACCACGTGGCTCATTTAAAGATTCACTTGAAGTGTTGGTATCTGATGGAGACTTCGTTTAGTTCCACCCAAATTTAATGCTTTCTCTCCAATACCTCATCACTGATGTCTATAGTTGCAGTCTGTTCCTTGGTGAGAACAAGCATGTGCTTGCCAAACCATTAAGTCTTGAGACAAGATTGGGAAGTTCTTTACGAGGAACACTGTCGTTTTAGGGGAAGGACATTTACTATGCCCCAGGACAAAACATTCTACCCAAGGCTCTACGTGAGGGCCAGACAGGAGAAGCCTGCTTCTCCTCCATCACGGACACTGTGTGCTAAAGACCATCATGATGTCCTCTACTGCCCTTCTCCTACCCTGACCCCTTTCCATCCCACCAAGGGATTGTAGCGCCCAGGCACATTCTAGGTGGGTTAGGACTTGGGATGACATTAGCAATGTCTTCTCTTTGGGACACAGACCATGTACGGCCTGCAAAACGTAAAAAGATTTACCCTCTGGCCATTTATAGAAAATGCTTTCTGTCTTTACACTTACTGTAAGTTAAGAGCATTTCTTACTAACTAGTGCTTAAAAAAATAAAAAACAATATAAGTACAAAATAAACAAGTTCCCCAAATTTCTAAATCCCAAAATAAGTGAAATTGAAGCAACACATTTCTACATAAACCTCAAGTAAAAGACATTGCAAGGAAAATTAGAAAACATTTTTGATAAAAACTACCAACATGAGATATCAACATTGATGGGCTACAGTAAGGGAAGTAGTAAGTGGGAGAGTTAAGTTTTAACTCTATATTAGGAAAAATGTTCTCAAATTCATTTCTTAACCTTCCACTTTGGGAGAAAAAGTAGGAAAAAACTAAATATATAGAAATTAGAAAAGAAGAAATGACAACTAATATACAACAATGAAATAGAAATTGAAAATACATTATTTAAAGTTCAATAAAAATAAAAGTTCTTTCTGAAAGGGTTAAAATTGGTAAACTTTTAGCGAGGCTGAAGTAAATGAATAAATGAATGAGTAAAGCAGTGAACAGAGGGACAGTGCACAGACTGCCAAGCTCGGGAACAGAAGAGGAGACATCACCACCGACTTCATGGCGCTGCTATGGAAAGTGGTGTGCAGATGCCTCAAAAAATCAAAAATAGAAATCCTATGTGACTCAGCTAGCTCACTTCTAGGTATCTTCTCACAAGAGTTAAAGTCATCATGTCACAGGAATATATGCATACCCATGTGTGTAACAGCACAATTTATAATAACAGATCTATAACAAAAGATCTTGTAAACAGTGTATGTATCCATTTATAGGCAAATGGATAAAGAAAGGGTGGTATCTATACACAATCGAGTACTATTCTATCACAAAGGAAGATAAATTTGAGGAGTTCACAGGCAAATGGATGCAATTTTAGAAAATAACGTCCAATGAAATAAGTCAGAAACACAAACTTAAATATCACCTGGTTTCTCTTATGAGAACCATATACACAATTCAGGAAAAGACAAACAGTATGATTTTTTTAAAACAGTGTTACCTTTCTATGGGGGACCCTAAAGGAGGTCATATATTGCAGAAAACCCACTACACTGGCGGTCCGTAAAGAAGAAATTGAAAATCCACTGCAGCAATCTCAGTGACCAAGGTGACCCAAACAGCAATTCTACATACTAATAAATGTCTGGACGTTAACGGCCATTAGTTTGAGCACCTCTTGTAATTGTAGAGGACAAAAGTAACTTGTATTAATCTCATGGTGTCTCAATAAATTTAGTGTTAAAATATTTATATGAGTTTTTTCTCCTGAAGTGTGTATACATTTTTTTTGGCAGACTCTGTAGCTAGATAGATAAAGGGATTGATAGGGGGAGAAAGAAAGAGGAGACAGATAAGCAGAAGTGGGGAGTAGTTCAAATAACTCCCCAAATTATCTATTCTATTGTTTCAAACATTTTAAGATAAATGCTAACTTATATTATTAGTTTATTCACTGAAATTATATTATATTATTATATTATATTAAATTATTATATTATTAGTTTGTTCACTGAAAAAAGTGTTGGCCTTCTATTTGTTTCTTCTTTGTAAGAAAGAATCTTTTTTTGTCTATGATGTGTACACTTAAGTAACATTTTGACCAGTTGTTTGTTAGTTTGTTTGCTATTTATCTTAATATCATAGTAGACAATAATTAACCATCACTGTTCTCTATTTTCTTATATGATTTTATGTTTTGCTTTATTTTCTCATAGAAGTAAAAATGTTTTTATATTATTATTATCCACTTGTATTACATTAAAGAAAATTTTTAAAAACTATGACAATAAAAAAATTACAAGAAGATATCATGAACACACTTATTATGGCAAATTGGCAGCTCTGATGAAATGAACATGTTTCTGCTCACCAAACCTACTTGAGGAAATCATTAAAAAATGTCACTGATATTAAAAAACTGAGTTAGTAACTTTAAATGTTTCCACAACGGAAAGCCCAGGTCCAGATGGCTTTTTCCGTTCTATTAAATATTTGTTTCACTAAATAAAAAAGAACACCAATTCTTCATAAACTCTTTCAGAACTTAGATAAACTTTCCAACTCTATCTTTGAAACCAATCGAATCTGTTACTAAATCAATCTATTACTAATCTATGAACCCAGTCAAATCTATTACCAATAAATATATTACTAAAGCCAAACAAAAAAAAAACATGCTAAGAAAGTAAGTCATGAAGAATGAATATCCCCCATGAACAGAAATACAAAAAATTCCTTTAAATATTACCAAATAGTAGATGGAAACACATAAAAATAATTGTACATAATGAGCAAGTAGGACTGATGCCAGGAATGTGGGCTGGTGGAACACTTGAAAAATTAATCAGTACAAAAGTATGGTTATAGAAAAAGGACAAAATCTGAACAATCATCTTGATAGATACAGAAAAAATATTTCCCAAAATTCACAATCCACTCATGACAAAAGTCTAACAAACTAAAAACAAAAATGACTCTTTAGAAACCAAACCACGCCTTCTCATGAGCCAGCAGCAGCCATGCAGAATAGGAGGAGACTCAAGAAGCCAAACAATACTTTCCCGTGAGCCAGTGGGGTGGGACACAACAAGAATACCCATTCCCTCACCCTGGTAAATAATTGGCTGATTTGGAGGAACTCAGGCTATGTCAGCTATAAAAAGAATAATAATAATAATAACAACAACAATGCTTGTATTGTCTGATTGACTTTGCAGGCCTAATGCTTGTAGTCTGAACATCTATTTGGAGGATGACAGTATGCATTATAGCAACTATAGGGGATTTCCTTCAGTCTTGTTTTTGAAATCCAATGTTTTGTTCCATTTTATTGTTTTGCTTTATTCACATATCTGATAACCTGAGCAACTACTTTGGAGATAATAATATGCAATATAACCACCATTGTTAAATTCCTATCATCTTGTTTTGAAAACCTGTATTGCTATTGGTTTTTTGTTTCTTTGTTTTTGCTTCTGTTGTTCTCTTTTGGTTTGTTTGCTTCTTGATTTTTTTTCCTCTCTCCCTCTCTCTCTCTTTTTTTTTAAACTGACCCCTTAATCCACTAAGGGGAATCTAAAAAACACCCATAGCCGAACTATTTTGGAGGGGTCAGAGTGTTTTATTCCTTAGATCAGGAGTAAGGCAGTGAGACCAACTCTACCCATTGCCTCTCGATAATTTGTGGGCGGTTCTGGCAACTGCTTTATAAAACAAACAAACAGAAAGCACCAAGAATGGGAAGGAGACAGAGAAGGTTTCTTTATTCATAGTTGGCTTAGTTGTTTAGAAAATCCTAGGGGATTCACAAATGTTCAGACTAACAAGACTAACAAGATTTCCGGGTACAAGATCAACATTAAAGAATCAACTATATTTCTGAATACCAGGAAAAATAATTTAGAATTGCAGTTTCAAAAATAACTATGGAGATATCTTGGGAGTTGTTGGAAATTTTATGTATCTTGATTGTGCTGGTGACTGCATGACAGCAGACCAGAAGGGTGAATTTTCCTGTATGTTAAAATAAAAAACAAAAGCAGTGACTCAAGAATTGTCTTCTTAAATATTTAAAATAGTATGTATTGTTTATTAAAGCAAAATTCCAAAAAGTTCCACATGCTGATTACTGTACCTTATGAAGAAGTGCAATAGTTATTTTTGGTGTAAATTCACATACCTGAATCAGTTTCATAATTTTTTATTTCTAATACAATGTACTTGTATTTTTTCTGGAAAGTCTTTTTTAAATATAGTTTTATGGTTATTTTTAATGTGAATATAATTTATCACACATTTAATATTATTGACATCTTCATAAATATTTATTGCCATGTCGTCTTCATTTAAAGGTAGTTTTTCTGACATCCAGTCACCGCACATTTGTTTCTCTTTTCAGCTGGTCTCCTGCTCTAGCTCCCTGGAAATAAACA